TACAGTTAAAATATATACAGGGAGTCACAAAGAAGTGGTACTTGCAAATGATTGGTCAATTTATCGTTTTTACAAACTTTTATTATAGAAAATACAAAATTAAAGCGGATACGTTGTACATTGCACTAGTATTTTCTATTTGTTTGAAACAGAGTAGTGCACATTGTCTTTAATGTTACCATTAGTTTATCAACGTTTAATTGTGAAATATTGTTCCAATGTCTATTATTACTTCTCTCAATTCAGACAAGTTTTTGTGAATCGTTTAACATTCTCAGTTGACATATAAGCCCATACAGCTTAATAATATTCATGTCGAGACTTTACGTAGGCCAAGTCATGGTTGCGAATGTTCCATCGGCTTCTTTTCTCGTCCAGGTATCGTTTACCGTACGCTTGTAATTACTGTCTCGCTGGAAGGTGGATCAGGTATTGTTACTGAGGGAATGTCATGATGGATAAAATCTGCTTGTACACAACAGCAACACCACTGGCTCAGTTGCAGCCCACACGTGTAGTGATCTCTCAAAGTGCTTCACTGTATGTGCCCATGATACCATTCGTTTTTTTACCGTCGCACAAACTATCATTGAATATTCCCGAACAATATTATTTTTGGATTCGCTTGTATTGAGCACCTTCCTTCAGCTTTGTTCATCCTATTTTTAGTAGTTTAATATCCATTTCAGATTTTTGGTTTGGTTACCTCTCTTAAGCAATGGTTTTTGAGCAGTAACATATCCAATCAGATCATTTCATTCTGATGTGTATCTTACTGTTGAAGTTAGATTACTGAAACTATCTCAATTGGATTGTCATCTACCATGTACAGAGCATAAACTGAGGTGCTTAGCATCACATCTGAAGAGTTGTTGATGTAGAAAGTATAAAACATTTATATTATCAACAATACTAGTTTCACGTACCTATTTTCAGAGTTTCCATACAGCCAGTTGCGGAACAAAGTTTGTGACAACTGGATATTCATGAAGTACCTTATACATGGCAAGGTCAATAAAGTTTTTGCTGCCCTAGTATCGACTAAAAGCCCACTCTTACATCCACGTATCAACATATACAATGTGATAAACACATTATGATTCTCTAAACCAGCCACAATAATGATGTATAAGAGTTGACTGCTGCACTCACCTGAGCTGATATCCATATCCAACTCAGGCCCATTACATTAAGCTAGCTGGAGTAATTACAACCATAGCTCACTGCCATCTTGTTCTTGCATCTGTTGTGGCATTAGACTGAATATCCAAGGGTCTTATCTAGCAAAAGAATATGGGAATTCAATAAACCAGTGCCAAGGTAAGCCATATTTGAAGCAAAGGCTCTTTCCCTTGCATTTTTGGTGCCTTTGGATGTCCAATAATTTTGGTTGCATTGGTGACAAAGCAATGGCAACTGGACCAGAGAAACCCTGCTAGACCACTGGAAACCATGATAACTGTGCCATGATCTTTTCAGAGATCTGTTGTACAGGAATTGGTTGAGCTGGCAGTCAACATTTATGTGAAGTCATACGAGCCATTTAAACTCAACACGAAACTAGTACTCACCAGCAGATTTCAACCAATCAGCCTTTTCAGCCACTTTAAAGTCACTTGTAAACATAAAATGAAATACACTGTCTAACATTAAATTAAACTGGAAACATAACAAACCCTCTAGAAGACACCAAGAAAGGTGAAATTAAATATACCCTTTGACGTTAGATTGAGAATATAGATACACATATGATTGTAATCACAACTATGATACATGAATTCAAAGCAAAGCAAGCATTTACAGTTTAGATGAGTAGAGACAGAGTACTCATATTTATTTGTTCAAAACGTTTCAAAATATGTACATGCATGTATATGCTATCCTAACATATGAAATATATATATATATATATGTACACAGAAATACAAAACAATACACCTTAGTGGTAAAGTATATTATGTACACAAACATAGAAATTTTATACAAAATTATCTGTCAACTTACAATGAGGCAAGGCTGTGTGGAGGCAAGGCTTGATGATGGGATAATAACAGGAAAATGTGGTGTCTTTCTGGTTAATCTTGGTTCAATGATGAAGTTTTGGATGTGAGAGGATCCATTGGTTACCTAAACTTTGAGTCAAGGCTGTCAGAAGGGTCAGGTTAGGTATGTTGAAGGCATGAGCATAAAAACCCTTATTCATAGGTACAACTTCAGCTGCCATTTGGCTCAGAGGTTTCCAGTGTTTGGTTCTCCAGAGTGCTACTGTTATTGTTGGTTGTTGTGTCTCCTTCTTTGCAATAACATGGGTCATTAAGCAAGCAAAGGTGAATGCATATACAATGTTTCTGGGAAATCCAAAAGTCAAGGATTTTTTCATAAAAAGTTAGGAACTAAAGAAGTGTAGTCACTTGGATTGTAATTGATCAGGAGTTTTGACTTTTAACTATCACCTTGGTCAAGTGGCATTACTACAGGCTTAGATGTACTCACATACAGACAACATATCCTTAAACCTGTAAACATCACAGTCAAGCAGGCTTAATTGGGGCTCTTGTTTAACCAACACTTAGGCTGTGTTATGCAATGTCCTCATTACCATGGTAACAGTAAATACAGCTATCTTGTAACCCCGGAACATTTCTTTCACTAGTATCTATTATTAATTACGAGAAAATACTGACTTACTAATCTTATGAACATTATTTGAAAAGGTTACTGCTTATGAAGAAGAGGGTAACATGTGGATGTTGTATATTTGAATTTTCAAAAAGCATTTGACAAGGTGCCATATAAAAGGCTTGTTAAAAAAGTTATCTCTGTAGGTATGGGAGATAGGTTGGCTCATTCAATAGAAAACTGGCTAGATGGAAGAAAGCAGTGGGTTGTTTTAAATGGAGTTCAGTCAAACTGGACTAATGTTACCAGTGGGGTACCTCAGGGTTCAGTGTTAGATCTTTTTGATTTATGTTAATGACATAGATGAAGGAATGGTCAATAGATTATTTAAATTTGCTGATGACATTAAAGTTTTGGATGTTCCTGGCTGTGAAAAGGATGCTACTACTTTACAATAGGATTTGGATTATTTGGAGAGTTTAATGAATAAATAATCAGAATAATGGAAAGATGGTAATTATTACTAAAATGCTTGGCAAAATTATTTATTTTTATATCTTCCTTGTCTTGTAACTTGTGTTTAATTTTATAAAACTTTTGAGTTTTGATAAGTTTATTAAACAAGTTCCATATTCATTCTTCTTTTTCCACTATGATTAAGCTGTGATTTGTTCATCTACAATTTCCTTTATCTTTACTGTATGTTTGGTGTTTATATATTTCTTATTTGTTTTATGTTATATAACTTTTTCCAAATGTTTATTCAAGTGAACATACACTGTTTCATATTTTGATCTTGAATACTGAAGAAATAAT